TTTGTATTTAATTATTTTGGCGTAAAAGGCAATGAGGTATTTAGTTTTAGAAAAATCGACGTAAGCATCGGCCTATTATCTGCAGAATCCTCTATGAACCACTGCGAATGTAAGAAGTATTGTTTGATGATAATTTGTGGCAACCGTGTAACGTCGTACCATTTAAAATGGCACCTACCAGGAAATTCAAACATCAATGTGGCATGTATATTTTTGTAGTTTGTATTCATTCTGGTGCCTTTTTCCCTTTTTGTTTTTTTTTTATGAGTTTGTGAGGTTTACAACATCAGCAACTTGTCTCATCAATGGAGGCTTCCTTTATAATACACGAGCTGTAAGAAATTTATCAAAGCGATGTCTAGAAGATATTGAACTTTATTTTTAGGAAGGAGCGATATAGCTCCGTAGTTTTATCACTAGGAGGTCAATTTGAAGTATGCAGTTTGTTACTTGAAACACAATCATAACCAAAGTCATTGTATTCTCTCGTTGATATTCTGCAGCGTCATCTGAAAAAACAGTGGACCGGTTGTTAATCTAACGGTTTTCCTTCGTTTAGCTTAAGCTTCAATTTGGCCAAACGGTTTTTGAAAGCGTTCATTTTTGTGATCTGTGTCAACAAGGCTTAAAGTTAACCCTTTAACTTCCGAGATCTTATTAGTAATTCTCCTTACAATCTGCTATACAGTTCTTGTGATGTTAGTTTAGAGAATTTGGGATTGCATTAACTTATAATCCTCTAATCGATACTTTTTCTTTATTCTCGTCATTAGTTTGCTTGATATTGTATTGATATTGTAAGGAGAAATTCTGTTTTGGTCACTCATGGGAGTTAAGGGTTAACAGTGGAAAAACACCATCAAACATCCCACTCAAGGACAAATCTTGAGGAACAGTGGTCGTTGAAAACCGTAATAGGTGCATTTAGTCCTTCACACCCTCACGTCGTGCATATTCTTCATACTATTTACTTTGTATTATTCATGGCACTGACGCGGAGAGACTTTTTTACAATCCAGAGCTTCATTCAGTGGAAATCAGTTTCGTTATTCTCATAACGGTAGTGTTTGATCTCGAAGTAATATTGTAAGGGGAAATAAGATGTTCGTAACATTTAAGGGTTGAAGGGTTTAATAACCAGCCCAATTTATTTGCAATTTTTGTGCCAGGGTTTTGTGTCGATGCACGATGTCGGCGCACATGTTACTCTGACTCACTCTTGAAGAATTAATTAAGTAAACAATGATATTTAGACCGTGTTCAGCAGCTTTTTTTGGCTGGAGCGCAATCGCCGTCCTCTTGTCGCGCTTTTTCTGTGATGCAACATTAGTTTTGTACTGTTGTTTGACGGAGAAAGTGGAGCAAAATTGGACCTCTTATGAGTTACATATTTAGAGAATGATTTCTTTCAACTCGCTTGTAAATGGCTTGAAACCTAATCTAATAAACATTGAAAATATTCAGTGACTGTTTCTTCTTAGCGTAAACCCCAGCCTGTCAAGCATGGAATTGAATGTACAGTGCACGGATTGATCCAATCAACGGAGTATTAAACATTTAATTGTATATTGACCGAGAATTTCGCTATCTGGGATGTTGCATTTGAACGAAGCGAGGACTGCACAGTAGAAGGTTAACTTAAGTATAATTTACCGAAGATATCTTGATTATTTGGCGTTATGGGGTGAAGGCGGCATACTGGGGCTTCGACTGAATCAAAGACGAAAGCGAAGTAGTGTTGTCCAGGAGTTCAGTGAGGGTGATTTTGTGTTACCCGAAAAACATTTCAGCTGAAGAAATTAGTGAGAATATCTTATCGGTCCTTCGGAGTACTTTTCAATTTAGTGTCGAAAGTGTCCCGGGATTGCATTGGCTTTGCTTTAATTTGCTCTATAATTGGTCCAGAGAATTGGACCACTCTCTCAGCCCATCAGATGTAAAAGTTACACCAATCACGACTTGGAAATTCGCGTTTTCCCGCGCTTCAGGCAACTTGGTTGTTTTTACTTTCAATTCTCATCAGCTAATAAAGTACTTTCCTTTCCTTGATTCGAAAAGTGCTCTTTTTCAAAATAATTGGAAAGCTATCAACCGTTGTGAACGGTTAGGTCCAAAACATTAAACAATAATCTGGACCTAAGAAATCTGTCGCCGCTCTCCTATCCTTTCACTACCGTCATCATGGCAAGAGGCACATTTTAATTGACTGTGATGCATCGCTAAAAATATCTTAAAGAAACTTAATACTCCTTAAGAAAGGAAAATTTCAATAAACTACACGCACTCAGTTGAAATCCCACGTAATCTGCATTTAACACCCAGGCAGTCTACGTTCGCGCCAAACTTTTGTCTTTGCATCAGCCAAAGGTCTGTATATCACTCTCACACTTTAATATTTAACCTTCATGGCGCCGACAAGTGACTGCTAACTGCCCATTGTAAACATGTGTCAACGGCGACATGATGTCGCAGAAACCTTATGAGCTTATTTGTGATATCCCTTGTGTTTTTTAAATAATTTCTATTTTTAATTTCCAAACTCTTCTATAACCAAGCGACTCCTCGTCCAGTTCCTCGTTTCCAATAAAACAGTCTCTGTTCCTTTGGTAATTTTTATACCGCTTCGGTTTTTTCTTTCCGTATAATGTTTTACACCCTTGGTTCAAAAGTTCCTACTTTTTTTTCAGCCACTAACAAGGTACGAAGAAAAAAATTAAAGGTGTCGCCACTGCCGGTAGCATCTTCAGCGTCAATAAAATATAAAAAAGTTTCACTTCGTTGTTTGCTAAATAGCAGTAATAAAATCTCTCAGTCCTTCATGAGACATTCTGGTCACACTTGTGACGACACACTGGTGACCTTTAAAGCATTCTCGAATCTCATCCTCATCACCAATCAATTATCAACTTCACTGAGCATTCGTTTTTCGGGCCCATCTGGTCAAAAATGACAAGTGTTACGGTATAATCTAACCGAACAAACTCAACTACTTTATTTAACAGCGAGTAATGTTCTTAGTAAGGAGCTACTCCTAAAAGCAGTACAATACTTATCGTTAATAAACTTAATTAAGCCTCACAGTCTATATCCTAGCTCACCACTGACACAATCTCGATGCTGTCTCCAAAGTTCCTTGAAATAAGCGATCTTCCGCAGTAACTCTCTCTCTCGGTATAGCTTTCAAAACAGTCGTCGCTCCGACAACAACAACTACTCCTATTACTACATAAGCGAGTCTCTCTCTCTCTCTCTCTCTCTCTCTCTCTCTC